AAAATATTTTTTAAAACCCTTTAATTGCAGAATCTTATACTAACACGTGCCATTGGCTTCCCTGCAACAGATCTAGCTACTGCCTCTGCCTTTGTGTATCCATAGCAACCATCAGAGCTCAGGTTAGGGATCACGCTGATGCCTTCTACAACAGATTTTTAATGCCTCTCTCTTGTACACGTATCTTTTTTCAGTTATTTCACTTAATTAGATAGTCAGATTATATGGTTATAGTTAGGCTATAATATATAGTTTTATAATATAAACTAAAATATGACTATAGTTATATACTTAGAGACCATATATCTGTCTAGTTATATGATCACAACCGCAAATATCATGGTAATACTTTCTGATCCAGAACTCATGAACATCTATTTTTTTTAAAGATTTTATTTATTTATTTGAGGGAGAATGAGTGAGAGAGAGGAGAAGGTCAGAGGGAGAAGCAGACTCCCCAAGGAGCTGGGAGCCCGATGAAGGACTCGATCCTGAGAGTCCAGGATCATGACCTCAGCCGAAGGCAGTTGCTCAACTAACTGAGCCACCCAGGCGCCCTATTTTTTAAATATTTATTTATTTATTTGACAGAGAGATAGAGAGCACAAGTAGGCAGAGTGCAGGCAGAGGGAGAGGGGGAAGCAGGCTCTCCACTACCAGGGAGCCCTACCTGGGGTTCAATCCCAGGACCCTGGAATCATGACCTGAGCTGAAGGCAGCTGCTTAATTGACTGAGCTACGCAGGCACCCCATGAACATCTCCTATTGAATGTCACTTCAAACCTAAACTCCTGAGGCCAGTTTCCAAGTTTACTGACAGTACTTTGTCCATTACTATGCTATAACACTTTACTTAATAACCCAGTATATCTAATTCAGACAAATAAACATGCTACTTATTATTTATATTCCTATAGAAAAAAAAAGAAACAAAGAAATATAACTAACACTCTTTTATCCACCACCCATCATACAAAAAAAGACCCTGACCTTTCTGTCTGCTGCAGAATCCATCTGCTCCCCCATTCCCTTTGAGGTAACTACGATCCTGAGGTTTTCAACATTCTCTTGTTTCTCATTATAATTTTACCACATACAGCCATACCCCTAAATATTATTTTATCTTTACATGTCTTGAACTTAAACATATATATTTTTTAAAGATCTTATTTATTTATTTGAAAGACAGAGATCACAAGTAGGCAGAGAGGCAGGCAGAGAGAGGAGGAAGCAGGCTCCCCGCTGAGTGAGAGCCTGATGTGGGGCTCAATCCCAGGACTCTGGGATCGTGACCTGAGTCGAAGGCAGAGGCTTTAACCCACTGAGCCACCCAGGCACCCTTATGTTGAACTTATATTAATAAAATCATACTGTATGTATTCCAAGATTTGCTTTCATTGTTCAACATATTCCTAAGATGCATCAATTGTCACTGCTGAACAGTATTTTTGTATGACTATACCACAATAAATTTATCCAGTCTTATCATCGGTAGACTCATGTTTTTTCCAGTTTTTTCTTAATTCAAGCAATGGTACCACAAATAGTACCAATGGACACAGAGGAGTGGTACCCACATGTGATGAAGGAAATGGAATAGCAGGGTTACGGGTGAGAGCATCTTCAATTAAGGAGGCAGTGACAAGTATTTTCCACAGACCAGGTGGGGGGGTACACCTGCATCAGTGGTAGATACGTATTACAGTAGCTGTATGTTCCCACGAAAAATTTTTACTCTCAAACTTCATAGTATTTCCCAATTTTGTGGGAACAAATGCTTTCATTATTTAGGTTACAGTTAATCTATTTCTGATTACTAATATGTTGAGCCCATAATCATTGCCCATTCCGGTCTGAGGTACAAGTTTATGTCTTTTAAATTATTTTTTAAATTTTCTTTTAAAATTATTTACAAATACATAACATTATTTTTAGTTATAGTCATTGGCAATGATTTTTCCCCCTGGGTTGTGGCTTATCATTTCACTTTCTTTTTAGGTCTTTTGATAAAAAGGGGTTCTAAAAATCAAATCCTTAGTGATTTCCTCACAGAACTCCAATAGGTCCTACTTAAGAAAACATCCCTATCCTAAAATCATAACTACATGGCCCCAATCATTTTCTAATTTTTTAAAATATATTTTCCCTTTCAAAGTGTAGGCTTTAATACACCTGGAATGGATTTTTATATAATGTGAGATAAGACTCCAAATAAACATGTCCCTACATGGACAATCAGTTGTTCCACCCCATTAAATTAGGAAGGAAGGGAGGGAGGGAGGGAATCCACGCTAGTTTTCATAGTGCTTTCACATGTACAAGGGTTTGTTTGTGGGTTCTCTATGCTGTTCCATCTATCTAATCCTATTCAAAGCCATGCTGGCTTAATCACTAAAGTTTTACATTGAGCCTTGTTATGTGATAAGGTCAAGTTCTCTTGACTTGTTCTTATTCTTCAAGTGTTTCTACCAAATTCTGCCCTTATTCCTCAAATATATTGTGAATCACCTGGTCACATTCCATAAACATAACAAAAACAAACTAGAGATTTGGATTTCAATTATTCTACATATCAAGTCATGAAGAGTTGACATTTTAGTTTTACTAACTCTTCAAATCCATGAAAAAGGTCTATTTTTTTTCTATTTATCTAGATCTTTCGAAAAATTGTTTTTAATAATTGTACATACTTTTCAACTATAAAGGTTTCACATCTCCTTGCTGGATTTATGTTCTGCTTCTGTATTATTTTATCCCTTCAATTTCTTTTGAGTTTATTCTGTTAACTTAAATCAGCTCACGCATTTTCATCTTAAAATTACGTTACCTAAAAAGTTTACATTATTCATTTTCATTATTTTCTTATTTTCTAAGATTCATTTCTAGGATGAAAAACATCACATGTTCATTAGATGGACCTTATACTTGGGTTCTTTAAAATCTTCCACAAGCTTACTGATGTTTTCTCTGCTTACGCTACCAAAAAATGAAACACATATGTTAATATCACACATTATTATGAGATATTACGAGATATCCCATTCCACTTATAATCTATTTCTGTTTCATATATTTTAAGATTATATATGCCTAGTGAAATAATCTTCAGGAAGCCTTTAAAAAATAAGTTCTGTTTTGACTGATAATTCATCCATTCCTACTTTGTTTTGAATAGCATTTATCTGGAACATCTTTTCCATCTTTCAGTTTCAACAATTCTGTATTCTTATGACTTAGATGTGTTATGCAATAAACAATTTATTTTTCTTAAAATTTTTTCTTAAAAATTTTCTTAAAATTCTTAAAATTTTCTTAAAAACAGCAGCAACAACAAAAAAACTTGAAGCATTTAATCTATTTACTTTCTTCTTCAATTACAGGGATTTATTTATATAGTTTTTTCTTTCATTTTCACACAATTCTTATCTCTTTCTTTTTCTCCCTCAAACAAAGTCTGTAAATCATTCATATTTTACTCTATACTTTTAATGTAATTGCTTTATAAATCTTAAGATGCATACTTTACTTGTAAGACTCTAAATTTGATCTTCTCTCCTCTAGAATTATACAAGAACTTTAAAATAATTTAAATCCAGTCATCTGTCTCAATTTTTAGGATAAGGTACACATGCTTTTCAGTATTTGTGTTTCTGAGGTTTGTATACATTCTGACCCACCCCTACTGACCCCAGGATAAAGGGTCCATATCCTGGAAGGTCTATGACTCTGAGACACTTTAGTATCTACAAGTCTTCAAGAAGATATTGCCAAAAAGAAGCTGTCCACAGTTTTCTACATACGAATTTACTCTACAAAGATTTTGGTTAGAATCATGTGATGTTGGATACCTTAAGATTAGGGAAAACAAAATACCAAAAGTGGAAGCTGGTCGCCAGTGATCTCATGTTGCACAGGCAAAATACGGTAATGAGGAAGTCATTTAACCTTCATCACAGTTATGGATAAATAACACCCTTAACAATAAAGTAGTTTATGGTTTTCCATGATTATTATTTATGGAAAACATCATTAATATATATCAATTGCTCGTTCTCTAATGGGCATTCATTACTGAAGTTAAACAGGATGGTAGGATCTACCTCTGAGTACAAGCTATGAGTAGAAAGTGCCTGTACAATTTCTTATAGGAAGTAATTCCTCATGCTCTCTGCCCCAGACTTTTTGACCAAGGTGGTGTAGGTTTCACATGGTATAGCCACAGGATAATGCCCTCTCTATCAGCGTGGACCTCCAGATTTCATTGGGAACGAATGCCCTGAATAGCTCTGAGGCCCATAGCCAACTGCATAATCAGGAAATAAACACAGGGGCCTGGAGAATACCTATTACTGCAGTATAATTAAGCCACATCCAACCAATGTATTTAACTTAATTCTTATCCCATGAGGCAAAGCAGACACTACTTTTCCCCCCAGGTTAGATATAAGAATACTGAAACACGAATTTATATTGCTTTCAAAGATCATCCACTTCTGGGACACCCAGGTGGTTCAACTGAGTGTCCAAGTCCTGGTTTCGGCTCAGGTCACATCATGAGACTGAGCCCCAAGTCAGGCTCCACACTCAGTGCAGTCTGCTTGAGATTTTCTCCCTCTGCCCCTCTCTCTCTCTCTAAAACAAATAATTATTTTTTAAAAAATCACCCATTTTTAAGTATCAAGACCTAGAGGATAGTTTCACTTAGAAATAAAATATAGGTTTCATTGGGGAATGTGAGTATGGGATAACTGGGTGATGTAGACATTAGGGAAGGCTCAGGATATAATGAGCACTGGGTATTATATAAGACTGATGAATCACTGAACTCTACTTCTGAAACTAATAACACACTAATAATATGTTAGTCAATTATATTTAAATTTTAAAAAGGAAAGAAGAAATATAGGACATATATAAGTTGGTAATTAAATTAAGAATGTGTCATTATTTTACTCAACACTAAAAAATTTATAAAATGAAACCTCCATTGTAACACTTACTTGGAACTATAAATTCTATTTCTTCTGACATAGCAACTCCCAGTTTATTAGAAGCAAAGCAACGGTATTTCCCTTGAAAATGAGATACGTGCCCCTCATTTGGGATCTTAAAGGTTCCTGAGTTGTTAGATACAATTATCCGAGAGTCAGAGAGATCAAAAGGCTTGTCATCCTTAGTCCACGTAAATCTGTAAGATAAAACTAAAGTAAACAATCCTGAAAAATCAAAACCTATTTCTTAAAGTAGTGTGAAACAAATACACAGCAATGACAAAACCAAAACATTTTATGGTAAAAAAAAAAAATTTTTAATTGACTATATAACAGAATACCAAAAAAGTCTCAGAAGAGTCTGAGAAATTTTACAAGTTGCTATATACTGAATGTTTATGTCTCCCCCAAATTCATATGTTGAAGCCCAAGCGCTAATGTAACAGTGTCTGGAGGTAGAGGATTGGGGAAGTGATGGTCATGATGGTGGAGTTCTCATGAATGGGATTAGCACCCTTAAGAAGGAGACCCCAGAGAGCTTTTGCTTTCTTCTGCCATGTGAGGTTATAACATGAAAACAGCTGTCTATAACCAACGAAGTGGGTCCTCATCAGACACCAAATCGGTGAAGGCCTTGATCTTGGTCTGCCCAGTCCCCAGAACCATGTAACAAATGTATATTTGTTGTTTAAACCACCCAGTCTGTGACTTTTTATTATAACATGCTGAACTAAGACCAACCCATAAAAAAGCTGTAACAACTAAGAAAACAAAAACTGCAGACAGGTTTTGTTCTGTTCTTTTTAAAGTTTTTTTTTTAATTTTTTCATTTGGAAAAGTATTTCACTAACACTTGAAGACTACTTAATCCAAAAACATATAATACGTCATCATATGTGTATGTGAAGAGTTCACTCAAAATTAAAAAAAAAAAAAAGAAGAAAGAAAAAAAACAAGTACCATTAAATGTGGTCACATTTCCTATCTAGATTTTTAGACATATTAGTAACATATTTGAGACCACAAAAATATAAAGGTTTGAAAACTGAGTTTTTCTGATTATTACAATGCTACTAAAGACAGTTTCTATGACAATATTATTTCCTGTCATATGATTACTATTGAAGTTACTTAACAATTTGCATTTTTCCCCTTTTATAAACAAACCGTGGTAAACAACCTTAACATCATTTATTTTTTGGCACTTATCCAAATATTTCATGAGACCAATCTCTTAAAAGTAAGAATGACAGACCAATAACATAAGAAAATTTTTATAGCTGTTGATAAATGTTGCAGAATTGTATTCCAGAAAAGAACATACAGAGTTAAATTCCCACCCCAGTGTGGAACCATGTCATTTCTGTGGATGAGGTTATAAAAAGTTTTAAAAAAATGTTATTAATCTAATAATGACTTTCCAACTTGATTTTATTCAGCTTTTCATATATGAATTATCCATGCAAATTGTGGAATGTTTCAGGACACCATTTTCTTACACTAAACTATCTGATTATTCTTTTACCAGGAATAACAAACCTTTGTGGGACATACTTTTTTTTTTTTTTTTTTTTTTTAAGGAGCATTATCTGCCTTCTTCCCAATCCCAGTTCTTTTATGTCTTCTCTCTATGTGTATGTTTTATGTTTTACCGGCTTTACTTACAAAAAACACAAAGAATCTATTTTTTTTTTAAAGATTTTATTTATTTATTTGACAGAGAGAGATCACAAGTAGGCAGAGAGGCAGGAAGAGAGAGAGAGGGGGCGAAGCAGGCTCCCTGCTGAGCAGAGAGCCCGATGCGGGGCTCGATCCCAGGACTCTGGGATCATGACCTGAGCTGGAGGCAGAGGCTTTAACCCACTGAGCCACCCAGGCACCCAAAGAATCTATTTTTTAAATTCCAGTTTGTTGAATGGGATCACTTCACCTATACAGAATTAAACATTTCCACTTGGAAATACGTTACATGTTTTCATTCATTGAAATCTTCTTTCCTGATCCTAGGCAAAACTTTATAGACACTGCCCCCAATTTAAATACCACACAGTTCTTGTTACATAGTATTTGATATTGTTTTTGTCAATGTTGCTACAACTAACTGTTAAGACTGACGGATTTTTTCCTTTTGCTATTGTGATGGGATTCTTCCTTCTTGTTTCCCAATTATTTTCTAACTGCCTTATATGGACATCTAATTAAACTTTTAAAAATTTATCTTTAATTTTTAAATCAACTTACAATTGACCACTTCAGTGTAGCCCTTTGTATTTATAAAAGCTTGTTTTTATCCAGCAGATAGAATAACAAATTCCATGATAATAATAATATTATTACTTAATAATAATATTATATTATTAAATATTATTTAATAATATTATTAAATAATATATTAAATATTAACATTATTTTGATATAAAATATTAAATTATTTTTAATAATATTATTAAATAATATTAAATAATATTTTCTCATATGTATAGATTTTATTTTCTTGCATTATTATATTAGACAAGGTTCTAGGAAAATAAGTGAGAGTGTTACCAGAAGACATTCTATTCTTATTTCTGAATTTATTGTAAATGCTAGTGGTATTTCATAACTAAATTCATACTGGTTATAAACCTAATAAACAAATTTGATCATTATTCATCTCTGATGATTATAGGGTATTATCTTCTGATATATAACTCAGTTCATTACTATTTATCATTATATTGACTGATCCATATTGATCCAGCCATAATGATTGACTAAATTCTTCTTCATATAATTCTATCCACATTTACATATACTAATTGAATATATTCCATTTGGTAAACTATAGATAATAATGATAATTTAAAACATCAACGATTCATTAAGAATGATTTTTAAAATATCAAATTATCAGGTAATAATAATGTTAGTCACAATACAATTTCAAACAATTAATTTTCCTTAAATATGTGTCTTCTTAGTATATGGAAGAGAATCATGCAAATCAGTAGAAGTATGTAGCTTTGCTGCCCATTTTAGAATCATCTACATTAAAATATAAAATTCTCCGTACAGCTTCTCCCTCTTCATTCCCAACACACACACTTTCTTTCTCTCTTCCAAAGTGTGGGAGGTATTTTGAAAAAACTTCATCACTGATTATGATCACCTACACTAACAATTATTTAATTAATAAAACACTAGATAAAATATACAATGCAGTTAGCATTTAGATGACTAAATATTTCTATGATAACTTAAAAAATATCAAGTAACAGCCTACTCACTGAATAAAATATGTGTCACATTAAAAAAAATATGTGTCACATTTAAAGATATGCAACAGTAAATATGTATAGAATGTCATTTATCAAAGTGTTAACTTTCAGGGGCACCTGGATGGCTCAGCGGGTTGAACCCCTGCCTTTGGCTCAGGTCCTGATCTCAGGGTCCTGGGATCAAGCCCCGCATTGGGCTCTCTCCCTCTCTCTGCCTGCCTCTCTGACTACCTGTAATCTCTCTCTCTGTCAAATAAATAAAATCTTTTAAAAAGATGTATTAACTTTCGGCTTAACAAATGCTACCTTTCTCTAAGCAGAATAAAGGATCTTCTGGACTTTGGCTACCTTGTTCACCTGTAAGGAATTATCAACTATTTCCATGGTGCTAAAACCTATGCTAAATATTTAGCACAAGGCAATTTATTTTATGGTAAAAATGATTTCAACCTGCAGAGAACATACGTAAACCAAACTTTATTTTCATAAACATAGCTAGTATTTTTTTTTTTTTGCAACTCTTAACTTTAATCATGCGTAGTTTTAGAGTTCAACAAGCTTATGATGGTCAGAATACAAAGAAATTTTAAAAAGAGATTATATACATATAAACAATTATTTCATTTGCAAGTATACTCACATTGGTTCCGGATTTCCTTTAGCTTCACATTCGATTTGAAAATATTCATCAAAGGGAAAGGCAACTTGCACTTTTGACTGTTTTATGATTGTTGGAACCTGTTGAACTAAATATCAAAATATGTATATGAAGAATATGGTCTTCAAATATTAGGCCAGCTGAATTTAGCTATAACAAAAATACTTGAAACATGCTTCCTATATTGATAAGAGAACTATTAAAAAAAGTGTGAAGTACAGAACAAATATGATTTCCTCATTGAAAAATATATTTTATTAATTAATTGAGGTTTACCCTTGGGTCACTTTTTTTTTTAATTCCAGTGTAGTCAACATAGTATAATATTAGTTTCAAGTATACAATACAGTGATTCAACAATTCTACACATTACTCAGTGTT